ATTTGTTGCGAAAATTTGGCCAAATTTCGTGATGATTCCTGGCGATTGTGCGATATTATAACAGGTGATGAGACGTGGATTTACCACAGGCAAATTCATCACAAGTCAACAAACAAGAGCTGGATTAGTGAAGGTAAATCACCAACCACTACAGTTCATCGAAGCAAATTTGAAGCAAAAACTTTATTCTGTATTTTCTTTAAATCGAACGGTCCTGTTCTTTTACATGCGGTTGATGAGGGTAAGACTGTCAATCACAACTAACATATTGAAACTTGCCTGAAGTCAATTGTCAAGGAAATATGGAAGCAAAGAAAGTCAGTAGGCACGAAAGGTATAAAATTGCTTCACGACAATGCCCGACCTCACACTCATGTCGAGGTAATCAAGTATTTAAAAGAGGAAGGTATCAATATTATACCACATCCATCATACTCACCTGGTCTTGCGCCATGGGATTATTAGCTAAATGATTACATTAAGCAACGTTTAACGGACCAAGTGGATGAAAAATCATTGGCTCGTGCGGTATCCAAGGTAGTGAAAAATATTCCAGAAGAAGAATTCAGAAAAACTTTTGACAAGCTGCTGGAAAGAATGAAACTTTGTATTAACTAGTAATCGTGGTGACTACTTTGAACATTTGATGAAATAAAACTGCAACTTTCTGCTTATCTTCATGGTTTTATCGAACGATGACAGAACTTTTGGTTAGCCCTAAGTATTATGAATAGCAGAAATCATATACTTCACATCAATGACAAAAAGAATTGTATCATGACAGTCTTCGACCGTATTTCCCATTTGTATAAAATTGGATAGCATGGATTTCGGTGAAAATAATATATGCTGTAGAGCAAGATGTGGTGCAGTTTTTGACCAATCGACTTTTTCCATCTTTGAGATTTTCCTATACTTAGCCATCTCTCATATCAGTGAACGTCATATATGAATGATGTCAAACAGGGCGGAACACGACAACAATGTGTCATTTTCAGGCAGTCGTTGATAATTCGTTCTATTGTACCATAAGAGAGAAATGTCTCAGCCGTAATTTCGTCATAAGTTGAATGTGGATCGTTGTTGATAATCTGTCGAATCATTTCGACATTTTCATCTGTCAGCTCAGATACCGGACGACCAGATCGAAGATCATCATTGACATCTTCTCTTCCTTCATGAAAGCGCTGTGTCCATCCAGCAACTATTCGATATAATGGAGCGTTAGGTCCCAATGCTGCTATGAGTTCTTCGTGAATTGTTTTTGCATCCATTCCTAAAGTGCTCCGAATTTTGATATGGTGATCGATTGAATTCATAACTCATCTCGAAAAAAAATTTTCTAAGTCAAGTTGAAGTTTGTCTGAAAACTTGTCCCATTAAGTCCAAAATAGAGTCCCTATATAAATTCTGATGCACAAGGCGTTCAACTCTTTATTCATGCAAAAATCTTTTCAATACTGATTGGTTGGTAAATATGCCAATGGCGTTGCCAGAACTTTTGGTTAGCCCTACTTATTATACCAAAACTGGCTTCGTTATCATGTCAGAGACGAGACATCATGTTGGATACTGTACTCTGACCTAATATTTCTCGGATATCACCCATCATTTTCTCCTAGAAGGGCATATTTATGAGATGGATGCGAATTGTTTATGCGTAAATTTATGAAAAATGGCCAGGTTCATTCTCCAGCTAACACCATATCTATCAAAACCTTCAGGATCTGTAGAGCTCGATGTGCTGATCATTTTGGTACCAAAATTGTTGGGACTGATTCGATTTTTCAAGAGAAATAGCTGAAATCGAGGCTTCGCTGCTCTGCACTAGTATGTAATGTTGTGAGAAAAGCTTGGCTATTTTAGAATTATGATCGGGTCGAATCTAGGTGGTGGCAGATTTCAACCTTTATCAGGAGGGGTTTTTTCAATTCAGCCCGGACAAAATTTTAATTTTAATTTTGATCAGCATTTTTCCAGTTGAAAAAAATTCAATTCTACCTGGATAGAATTAAAACCAAGCAAGAAAAGCGTTCGTTTGAGTACAGTATTACAGAACGACAAACCCGAAGAACAGAGATATATGATTCACTATATGCGAATAGAAAGTAACGTAAATTTCTAATGCACTGTTCACTATTTAATTAAATAAAAGCGGTCTCTTTAAATGAAAATATTAGTTGTTCATTGCAGATGTAGCTGTTTAAAAAAAAACGCTCTTCTTGTTCAATTTTAATTCTGTCTGGACAAAGTTGAAACTTTAATTTTGCCCGGGCAGATTTGCTATGGAAATCGACTCTATTTAAAAACTCAATGTTTCTCACATAATTTAAGAAAACTCGAGTTCCTCTTTCCGGCAGCATATGTTTTCTTTCTTACAGAAGTAGTTTCAGTTACAGTTTAACATCCATACGATGCTGTGGGTAGGACCTTGCAAAAAAGCGGTTCTGTGAGACACTATTAATCAGAGCAAATCGATCGAGTCCAATATTTCATACAGAACGATAACTCATCCAACGCTCGATAACATCACATAGTCGAAAATGAATTGAATATTGTGCGCTATGATATTGCATGCACCACACTTTTTAAATTGTGTATTATAAACATGTCGGGCAACAGTGTGCTGGATACGATCTCTCCCATTTTTCATAGAAACAAAGCTATGTTTTCTGAAATAGTGTGTCTCACTGAGAGCTAGAAATGGATGGAAAAATATGCTGGAAAGTGTCGTATTGTTCTCTAGTCGTGATGAAACGTTGGATCATGGAGTATGTGACTGCAGTAATGATAAGTGACCACGATCTATCTTTTCCGTTGGTTGTATCTTCCAGGTGATTGAGCAGCATGGTCAGGATTGGCTTTTTACTAAAGTGATTCGTGATTTGGTAGCCACCAGTACTGAAGCTCAATGCCCTGAGACAGAGCAACAATACTTTACCCGTGAATCGCACTATTTGGCTTCAAGAGTTGTTATGTCGTTAGCTGCGACGAGAGGATATGTTATAGCAGTCGTTAGTGAGGACCTCTGTTCTTCTAAAATATGAAAATTGCAGCGAAGGTGGCTATACAGCTATTTCAGTAGTTCTTCATCGTTCAGTAGTAAAATCATGGTCCTGCTATTGAATACAATGCTGTTGAAAATTTATTCCTCAATCCATTGCATGCTAATATTCCTTTTCGCATTGTTATTCTGTAACTAGTGAAAGAAATTCTAGCTCACGTGAAATTATTGTAGACAGATGTTGTGAATATAGCAAAATGATGTGCTAAAAATGCCGCAGGACGAAAGACTCTATAATGAACGATGCAGAGAAATCATCACTATAGTCCAAAGCTTTCAGCATGACCTTCCCCAATCGAAATGTGTAACAGAATACAATTCTCGCGCATAATGTTTCTTTTCTATGTCAATTGCAGTTCCTTACATAGTCATAGGAGAACCACGAGGAACCGCTTGCGATTGTTTGCGATAGAGTTAATAAGCTGCATCCTAAGAGGAACCATAGCATTTTCGTGGTAAGAAGTGCAGGAATTTCATTTCAGTAACTGGGGCAATCCGTAGTCCGAAGCAAAGTGCAATATGATTTTCATGTTTCGCCGATACTCGCCGATACTTTCGATATTCCGACATGTCTGTTACTGACTATGAGTATAGGTATGAGTGGCTATCTTTCCTCGCTTAAGATTCAATATAAACATAAAAGTGAACCTCGAGAAACAAATCGTTCAAGTAAACCTTTCGAACGAGGTTGGGAAACAACATGTTTTTACGTATTTGACGAAGCAGACTTGCATGGAAACCAAATTTGGAAAATAACACCCTCATTTTCATTAAAATAAACACCCTCGCTATTCTTTACTACACAGATTCTTCTTGCGATAGGGCTTGCACTAAATGCATGGGTCTTCATACGTTTTTCTTCCCACCGGTAATATGGAACATACCATACGGGACACGTTCACGAACGAACGATGAAGAAACGGAGTTGTAACAGTAATTTCCTTCATATCAGATTCATAATGTTCATGTTCGTCTCTTCAACTTTTCGGCAGTATCTGTACAAAGGGCTATTCTTACGGTCCACAATCCAAAAACAATTGTGAGTTTCGTATTCTCAAAACGATAAAGCTTTTTCTTATTCCACTATGTAGTGATATTTGTTGAAATTTCCATCGTCACCACCTATCACTATTCAGTTCATTTCATGATCCAAGACCTGATCACGACTACACAACAGCCCGCAATCTCTTTGTTTCAGCACATTTCTTCATCGCTATGTAGCTCTCGGTGAGGCACACTTTTGGGAGTAAATGTGGCTCCGGTTCTATGGAAAATGGGAGAGGTCCTATCCAGCACACTGCTGCCCGACATGTTTATAAGACACAATTTAAAAAGTGTGGTGTAGGCAATATCATACCGCACAATATTCAATTCATTTGCGAATATGTGGGGATATCGAGCGTTGGATGAGTTATCGTTCTGTATGAAATATTGGACTCGATCGATTTGCTCTGATTAATAGTGTCTCAC